TAAAATGCTTATCAAGTCCATACGAAATCCCTCACTAATTAAAGCATTCTTTGTCAAAGAATAATATAAATCCAAGGTCTAATTATCTGTTTGGCTCAATGTTTTAAATAAAACTTTTTTTCTTAGTGCCTTGCAAATTTTATTTATTTCGGCCAAAGCTCCATCCAAAATCTTTATTTTTAGGACCCTAGCCATAATTTTAAATTTTAGGCCTGAGCCTGTCCTGTCCCAAATTTAATTGGAAAATATAACTAAACGCATATTTAAACAATCAATTAATATAAAAATTTAATTCCTTTACCCAAATCTTTAGAGAAATCTATTTTATTGCTTATAATCTTTTTTACATTTTTTGAGTCAAAAAAATCAATAACCCTATTTTAAAAAAAAATATTTTTAGACCCAAGCCCGACTTTAACTTAATTTCCAGGTTCAACTAAGTCTGTCTAAAGGCCGATAAATATAAAATTATAGTTTCATCAAACTCCATTCCAGATATCGCAACTGATGTAATTCATTTGAGATAATGCATTCGCGACAATGAATTCGCGATAATACACTTGCGATAATGCATTCGCGCTAATACATTCGCGATAATGCATTCGCTATAATATTTTCGCTATATTATACTCGCTATAATGCATTAGCGGTAATGCGTTCGCTATAATACATTCGCGATAGTGCATTCGCGGTAATGCATTCTCTATAATATCTTATATAGAAACCTTCAATTGACGGTTTTGGTTTTTTAGGTAGGACAAAATTGTGGTGCTTCTATTTAATCAAAAATATTGGTTTCTCTATAAATATGTGGAACCCCTAGAGATCGGCACTTTTCGACACTCAATATATTAAGCCATCGCATACATCTAAATGTGTATCATTAGAGATTAATGAATTCTTAGTTATCTATATTAAAAAGATTTATGAATAAAATTTGTATAATAAAATAGAAAGAAAATTATATTTAGAAACGTGTTCCGAAACGCAGAACGAACGGGAATGTGACATATTTTTTACCCAAACAACTGGTTAAAACCTTTTCTTAATTAAAATTAGAATAAGATTCTCATCCGTCATATATCCATAAGGGTAAAGTTAAGAACCCTTCTAAAGGCTAATTTAGATAGCTGACATATAAATGCAATATATAAAAATTTTAAAAATGGTTGGTTCAGTTTAGATTCTCTTTAATAACGGTTAATACATATTTAACAAATCGTTTCAGGGTTGGTTTAGCTGAGTTAATAATCAAGCTACCTTGATATGAACTAAAAAGATTTTACAAAAAAACCATTGTTGAAACAAATAAAGTCATCGAAAAAATACTAACAAATAAACTGAATTGTATTATTAAAATGTTAATTTTGATATATTTTCAAATCCCGCATAAATTTTTTGAACATACAATATTTCTCTATAAAATCAAGATCTAGAAAAAATTCTCTACAAAATAATTCTCTACAATGTAATTCTCTACAAAATAATTCTCTACAATGAAATTCTCTACAAAATAATTCTCTATAAAAGTAATTCTCTTTAAAATCCTTCTCTATAAACAACATTCTCTATAAAATCATTCTCTCTGAAGTCATTCTCTATTAAGGACCTTCTCTATAAAATAATTCTCTTTAAAATCATTCTCTATAATCGACATTCTCTATAAAACCATTCTCTATAAACGGCATTCTCTATAAAATCATTCTCCTTGAAGTCATTCTCTATAAAGGACATTCTCTATAAAATAATTCTCTTTAAAATCATTCTCTATAAATTACATTCTCTATAAAACAATTCTCTATAAATGCATTCTCTATAATTGTTTTCTCTATAAATGTTTCTCTATAAAATACATTCTCTATAATGGTTTCTCTATAAAGACGTGGAACCTTTTAATATATTATAATGTAATGTTATAATAATATTTTTTCTATAAAAAAAGCAGGGATGTGAACCCGGACCCGGACCCTGAACCCTCCTGGACCCTCGTATTTTGGCTGAACCTGGATCCGGACCCTTTTAAAAAGTGGAGAGTCCAATGGTTTAGGGTGTTAAAAATTTTTAACTTAAAATTTTTTTTTTTTAATTAATGTAAAAATATAATTTTTAAAAAATAATATAAAATTTTTATAATTTTATTAATTTTTAAAAAATAATATAAAATTTTTATAATTTTATTAATTTTTAAAAAATAATGTAAAATTTTTATAATTTTATTAATTTTTTTCGTGGAATCTCCCTAAAAAATAGTCACTTTAAAACTATAATTGATAAAGCAATAGATGTTGTAAAATATTTAAGTACTCCCACAATTGTTAGAATATTAAAATCCATGAAAAGGTAAATGGCTATTTTAGATTGCACAACACGTTGGTCCTCTATGTGTATGATGCTAGAGCGATTATTAAGTTTGAAAGATTTCTGTAATGATAGGAGCATGTGAAATCATTTTTTCAGAAGATGATTGGAATCAAGTAAAAGAGCTTACTAGTTTGCTGGTTCCTTTAAAAATAACAACATTAAGAGTGCAAGCTGAACAATTATGTTTATCGGATTTTTATGGTATATGGTTAAGATGTCGATTAGAGTTAGGGAGATTAACAAGTTCTTTTTCAAATGAAGTATTAGAAGATACGAAAATAAGAGAGCAACAATATTTACAAAATAGTGTTGTATATGCTTCGATATATTTAGACCCGCGATATCAGGTTTTATTAAGTAGTGAGCAAAAACAAATGGCTATAGACCATCTTGAAGATTTATGGCATACCCAAAACTCTATTATTTACAATACATTGGTGGTTACAACAATATCTACTGGTTGTAGCGATAACAATGATAATGATATTGATGATCTGGAAATTTTACTATTAGATAGAGAAAAAAAAAAAATTATCATCTGATAGAAAGGAGCAAACAATATCTATTGTATCTTTAATAGAAAAGGTCTCGGAAGTTATGAGAATAAATAGAGATGCAAACATTTTAAAATTCTGGGAGGAAAATTCTTCAATATATCCAGAATTATATACCTTTTCTAGAATCGTCATGGCTGTACCGGCGACACAAGTACAATAATTTATGTATTATAAAAATGACTATCTATTTTAGGTAAGCGTAGAACGTGGATTTTCATCGTTGACTAATTTACGTGGAAATCAGAAGGATGATATTTTAGAAGATATCATGATTGTGCGATTGAATAAAATATTTAAAATATAAATTATCTCATTTCGAATTATAAATGTGTATATATTGAAGTATAATAAAAAATGAATAAAAAAAAGTCTTATTTTGAGTCATTATTTTTATGTTTCCTCTGAACCCGAACCTGCACCCTGGACCCGGGTCCTTTTAAATTTATTACCGGACCCCAACCCGGACCCGGACCTTTTTTTTGTCGTAGGGTTCACATCCCTGAAAAAAAGCAATAAATCAATCAAATATCTCATTAAACATTTTCTTTGTTATTTTTATTTTCAATATTATTTTTTAGCCTTTCGTATTACCAAGCCTTTCGACTCACAGACCTACCCAAAAAAAATATACACGAGGAAAAATTTAATGCATTGGTGAAGCAAATAAAAAAATGCTTATTTTTTAATAAATAAATAGAAAAAAATTTTTTACATTATATTTTTTCCTTACGTTTTTTAAATAAAAAATTTTTTTCACTTTTATTTAACGCTTTTTAATCTAAAAAATAAAAATAATTAAATGCAAATTTTATATCATATCTATGAGAATATATAAAATAAATATATATAATATAAATATTACGACTAATATAAAAATATATATAATATTAAAACTTATATATAAAAAAGGATAGAAATACTATATTTTTCCCCAGTTCAAGATTGTGAAGGATATTTTTATCATGCATAGGAATTTATAAATCCTTGCTTAGTCATGACGCCCATTAATTATAAACAATACCATTGATGTACAAAATTATTTTGAGCAAATAAATTTATTTAGAATTTTGTAAAATAATTTTATAGATTCCACTAACCTTTAATAACTAAATTTAAGTTTTTTTAAAATTTTTAATCTATTTTTGATTTCGATTGAAAAAAACTTATTAAAAAATTTAAATTCTAGCAATAACTTTTATAATTTAGTACTTGATCATTTTACTCAAAAACAAAAACAATTCTATTTTTTAAATATTTTAATTTTTTTATGGTTTGACTAAATAATAAAAATAAAAATTTTTTTTCGTTTGATTCCCTAATAGTAAACTTGACGCTTCGTCACTGTAATAAAGAACGGTATTGATTTTAAATTTTGAAAAGATATGAATCCTAGTGATATATGTTTATGCTACAGAAGATAAATATTTTTTTCAAACATTTATATCATAATAAAATTATCTATAATAACTAAATTTCACTCTCAATTTTATAACTTTTAAGGGAAATATAATGTTTGACGTGCCCTCTGTTCCATCTCGCCCCTGCCTCCCTATTTTAAGAAAATTTTAGAATTTTATTTTACAAAACAAGTTAAGGGTATTTTCCTCCATCTTACCTCTCATGGGTTAATACAATGTTTAACATGAGCACTTAATGTTTTATAATTATTGTAGCATTTTTATTAATAAAGTTTTTATATGGGTGGGTTATTAAATAAATTCTTTTAGCTTAGAAATATGACACACTAATTTAAATGCAATAATTTATTCACATAAATGCAATACTTTAATTACCAGTTTGTAGATATTTGAGAAAGAGCAATATTCACTTTAATTTACTACCTATCAAGTAAAATTTGATTAAATATTGCATAAATAAATTAATGATTAAACTAATTACAGGATAGGAGTAACTGCATAATAATTAATAAGGCATGAGTTAGAAAATGGTGAAAGGCACTAATCTATTGTTACAATAAAATTAAAAATCTTTAAAAAGCATTTTTCTGAATAAAAAATATAGTATATAATAAATTTCAACAACCAATGTATCATATAAAACGAAAAATAACAAAGGCAACAAAGAGTTTTATATATATTATATAGATAATGATTTTCGTTATTTTATTTCATTACAAAATATTTTATCAACACCAATCTTCATCAGACTCATCTACTTGGTAATTTGGTATTTCAAACGAGTGAAAATTTATGCAGTTTTCATTGTTGGATGAAGCTTGATACTCAGGTCTCTGATTATTGCTAAAACTATTATGATTAAACGTGTTAAAAGTGGAAACATTTGATGATTTATCCATCTTGTAATTTTTTTTGAACAAATTTCTGGGCGGAAGGGTATGAGATTTGCATGATATTCTAGAGTTAGCTCTCTGATTACTGGGCATTAGATGAAGGTCGCCTTCCGAATCAAACTTATTTGTTGGTTGTTTGCTAGTGAGAGAAGTTATGGGGTGATACATTGTGTCATGATAAATATTAGGATATGTTCTTTTGATTTTAGGGAAAGGAGTTGAAAGGGAATTTTCTTTGAAGAGTTCATGAAAATGCAAAATATAATTGTCATTGAGGTTGTCAGACCTCTTGATACCACTATAAGGAGTTGCAGTTTCGACAGAATCACCGTATGGATAGTAATCCTGTTTGTCAGATTTATTTTTAGAATTTAAATGAAACTCGTAATTGCTTAATGGTCTCGTCGAAGAATGCAAGTAAACGTTTTTTCTATCGAATTCAGAAGTTGAATATAGATAGTTATCAAATGAATTTGAACCACGATGTGAATCAATTGAGTTTAAATAGTGTCTCGAGCGATCACGAGAATAGGAATGAGGTATGAACTTTTGCTTTCTTTTAAAAAATTCAAATTTATCATATTTAGAATTTTCATTAAGATGTTCAAAATTTAAATTGATGAAATGAAATTCATCATCAACGCTATTACCCCTATCTAAGCGAGCATGCTGGTCAAGTTTGGGCTGCTTAGACAGTGAATCAGTTGACGAAAATGTGTTATAAGTTCTTATTTTGGATAGCATTGGTTTTCTATGGATTCGAGAATATTTTTCTATGCTCTCTAAATCAGGTTGATAATATTCATTCTGCTTATATTTATTAATGGAGCCTTCGAAATAGGGGGGGAGTGTACTCCATTCTGTTTTATAAACATTACCAATTTGATTATCAATATCGGCTATTTTGTAATGTTTTAAAGGGTGGGAATTAATTTCATGAGATAAAAGACTGGGAGCATTTTTGAATGTCATATTTAAATTCATATTGCTTAAATCTCTGGGATATATAATTACTTCCGATTTTTGAATGGGATTGTAATCATGCGTTTGGTGAGAAGAAAAATTATGTATATTGGGTAATCGTCTCTTGTATTTCTCCGTCGTATATGTATCAGGTAGAACAATTTCTTGTTTTTTTTATATTATAGTTAATAAAATATATTTATGAATGATTGATTAAATAACAGTTTTTTTGTACGATTCTATAAATATGAATAACGCCATTTATGATCAAAATTAAAAACTTTTAGTCAATATAGTGGTGGTCGAAGTTGGATCAACACGATCGCTTAAAATGGAGTCATCTTCTTCCGGTATTAATTCATTTCTAACATCATGTATTACATAACTCGAACGAATTGATTTGGTGTGAGTCATTCCATTAACCTCATAGTTCTCCGAAGGATTAGGAAGTTCTAGTGATTTCATTATTTTATATTCCGTGAGATGCTGTGGCAGAGAAACATTGTCACAGATTAAGTTAATACCTGCAAATGTAAACATATCTGAAGATGTTGGAGATAGAGATGTTAAGAGCAACTGGGTTGGTTGGGATGTGACTTGTTCACTCTCATTGTTAGAAACGACATCCTCTTTCGATTGAGTGAATTTTTTCTGTAATAAGATTAAGTGAATACTTTTATATACACATACCTATCTTTTATAATTTATAAATAACTAAAGGGTTATCGCTAAAATTTAAATAGAACTTTATATTCCCAAGAAAAAAGTTGAAATTAGCTTTACCCTTTCTCTGGAGTTTCCCTTATCTTTATGACGATAAATACTTCTAAAGAAGCTTTTTTTACGAAGCAAGGTGTCGGTAGTTTTCAAGCCATTGTTCCTATAGTCACTAATTATTTATAATGAGATGGAATTTATTAAAAATAATTATTTAAATTTAATTGTAAAATTATTTAATTTTTGAATTATAAACTATAAAAAATATAATGTAATACTTATAATGTTTATACATGTTTGAATCTGTGAATTGATCACCCTCTAATAGAGAGGATCGGTTATTAACAACTTCGTCATTCACCAAATTTAAAGTCGATAAATTGGTATTCGTTTTAACGACTCCCATAATTTTACGAAACAATGAGGATGGCTAAGTTTTGTTAACAATTTCGAATTAAGATTGTATTAGATAGAAGTGATTTATAGAACTGAAAGCTAATAATAAAAATTATTTAGGAAATTATTTCAGCTACTCAGATTAAATAATTGGGTAAAAATATTTACCTTATCAGAATCATTTGATTCTCGGAATCGAGTAGTCCTCCAGTTTTCAAGAATTAATAATCCAGCATATATCTTACCGATGCTTAATTTTCCAGTGCCAACTTCTACATTATAGTTATGATGGAAAGTTATATCTTTTGTAGTAATGTATAAACTACATATGCTAAAATTGAGAATCTTAATTCATAAAATTTATGGTTGAGGATTATAGGCGCCCATAACGCGGGCCTTGGTTATACTATAATTAAAGATCGATTAAATTCTAAATCAACCATTCTGCCTCAATAAAAAAGTGTCGATTTCTCATCACACGCAGTTTTTTAAATTAAAATAAATCATTAAAGATTTAGATCTTTAGATTATTTTTTTAAATTATTGTACAATCCTTTAGGCTAAAAAAAAATTTGAAAACAGCTATTTCCCTCCCTCTAACCATGCCAGAATACATGAATCTACGATCTGACGAACACATAAATTTAAAAAAGTTCATAAGATTTAAAATTTGGTTTTTCACAAAACTTAAATGACCCCAAATTCCAACTGGAATAGTTAACTTTAGACAAAGCCTTTAATGCTACTCTATTTTATATAGGTTAAATTTTTATTAGCAAAATCTCTTTTTATATCAGAAAGATGCTTTAATAACATTTTTTTAATAATTCTTCGTCAAAATCTCTGTTCATTTAAACAGCATTTGCCTACGGAGAATAACATATTTTAATTGATTTTGAGATTTTAGAATGCCATCAATAATTACAGCCTGCTGTGTATCCAGGATTTTCCTATAGGGGGAGAAATTTGGGGGGCTTCACACCCCCCCCCCCCAGACCGGGAAATATCTAGCTCTTTTAAATTTTCCATAATTATATTAATATTTTTAGCTTTTATTTACTAATTTGCGCTTATGAATATTTAAAGAAGAAATAAAGGTTACAAAAAGTTTAGTGTCATTTTTTTTTATAAAATTGGCTTTAAAAACTAGCCTCATCTTAAATTCTCATGCAATATAAATAGAATAAAAATTTTTTTATGAAAATACTAATTGTAGTGTGTATAAAATATTGATTAGAAAATTTTTAAAACATATCAAAAACAATATTATAAAAATTTATTAAATACTATAATTATAATGCTATTTTTAATTTTAGTAGAAAATTTGCCAATTCACCAAGAATTTCGTTTATCATTGGAACAAAATCTCTGTCTATATTTAACAGAGTTACGCCATTTAGCCGAGTCTCGGAAGTAGTATTTCGTAAATAAGTTTTCAACCTTCTCAAGTTGGAAAAGGTCCTTTCATGCGTACATGTTGTAATAGGCAAATATGCAAGAATATAAAACAACTTCAAAATATTTGGAAATTGAGATAAGTTTCCTTACACCGATTGAGCGCATCAATAGCATATTTAGGTAAAATAGCCAAATGTAGTTAATATTTATACCAAAATTTGAATTCACTGATTAAATTGATTTCAGTATTAATATCATAGGAATACAATTTTGCTAAATAGTTAATTTTACCAAAAGTGGCATCGGAAAACGAAGAAGGGTCTTTAGGTAATAAAATTTGAAGGTTGCTAAAGACTTATCTTTTTACCTAAAAACTTTACCTTACTTTGCTATAAAAAAGTATCTAAGAATGGGAGAAAATGGATATTTTATAATATTAACATTTATATTACATCAATTGCTTAGGTGCTAGAACGAGGTTTAATTATGGTTTTATCAGCTTTTATCTCAACGTTTAGATAAATAATGAAAATATTCATCTACATTCATTCTATTTACCTGTTCGTATACATTTTCCGCCAAATCAATAATCTGAACCAAATCTAAATTTGGTTTTTGTAAATTTTTACAAAGTAGTGAGCTATAGGAAAATAATTTATTAATGCAACCAGCAGCAAAGATAAACTCTGATTGATATTGCAAAATTTTGACGGGGGAGGGAGGGGTGGAGGGGGTAAAATTTTTATTAGCTTAAAATGAAATTTATGAAAACTGTCAAATTTGCGATGAAGCCCCATTGGTTACAAGCCTGATTACAGCACCCCCTCCCCCCTCTCCATCTCCCCATAAATGCACATTTAAAAAATTAACGCCTTTATATATTTTAAAAAATTTTTTTAAATATGATGCATTAAAAAAAATTTAGGTGGTGGTTTTTTATTGAGGCAGCTATGACTTCTTAGGAAATTCTACGTATTTTATTTTACTCAAATATTCATATAAGAAAATTTATAATAAAAAGAATATATATGATAAATATGCCTTCTTTTGGTGGAATGAAAACTTCCATCATTTTTTTGCCTTGAAGAGGCCATAATTTTTTAACGATTTCCTTGAGTTCTGCATTAGCCAATTCCATTTCATCACCTTTTTTAATTTACATGGTTACCATTATAATTTGATATATATTAAAATTACTTTTTTATGTTTACCGTTTTAATTTATATACTACATTTATTCTAAATTTATAATTCTGAAAAACAGTATACAGTTAGCAGATTATATTCTATAAGGGAGACCAGGGAATTCCCACAAGCGGAGAGAAAAACTGTAAATCCCATTTTCAATTTTTTTCAATTTGTTGTTTTTGTTTTGAGCTAAAAGTATTAATTTAATTTTAATCATAATCAAGATTTTAAATGACATAATGTATTATATGTCGTATATTATAAATCATTTATTGAAAATTTTAAATTTGGGAAATCTGATTTAACCAAAAATGTATTTCAGCATGTGTGAAGTACCCGTACTATGAATTTCATACATTTTGTCGTAAACTTTTAAATCAAACTTTACTTATAATTGATTAATACACAAAATTAAATGACAAAAATTGTCTGAAATTTATAAGATCTTTGCTCTACATATGCTGGAAATACATTTCCAGTCAAGTCTGATTTTCCAAATTTAAAAATCGACCTCAGTAATATAAAATTGAGATTCTGTATCCCCATGTATTCCATATCTAAATACGAGATATATGTTGATAAAGTTTTCATTTTTATAAAATTTATTTTAAGAATAAATTTATCAATATATATGTTTGGTTTGATATTACTTTTATGATTATTTTCCTACTTTTGTTTATTTTTTAATATATTTTATTATATTATGCTTAATGTCCTTATTAATACATTTGCAATTGATTTATAACCATGTATTACCCTATTATATCTGCACAATTGCTTTATAGCCATGCAACATTACCCTTGGGGTAAAATTGTGAAAAAAATTATTCTATAATTCTTATAATAAATCCCACATCATTTGAGGTAAAAGGCTTTAACTTATATTGTAGATTAATGTTGCGCTATCGGTAGATTGTATGGTTTTAAATAATGATTCTATCACCAATGAGCAAAACAAAACATTTGTAGGAATAGCTTGGTCTCCCCTTAAGTTTTGAGTTATTATACTTCTTTTACATAAATAGAATAGATTTTAGTCAACACATTTGAATTTTTTCAGGAATATGAATATGCGATAAATTTATATTACCAGTTTCGCCTATCATTCTTATTCAAATATATTAATAAGTGTATAAATATTTAAATAATATTGTAACCCAATCTCATTTTGATGCTCAAGGCTTCCCTAATAAGTGCAAATAGCGTCGTTACAAAATGAACGGTTCCATCTTCAGCAACTGGCATATTCATTCGTATTAAATGCTAAATTTATATTAAAATACCAATTACTAATAATAAAGAGTTGTATTTTTAGAGGGGCTGGGGTTTTCCTATAGGGGAATTTTTTTCAATGTTATCCTATTACCGAAACATGGTTTATCATAAAATAGAAAGCATAAAATGCCACATGTTAAATATATCTTTGTAATAAATATTTTAAAATTTCTGAGGTGCAGCTAAGTATATTGATCAAGAATATTAAGATTTTCTTTTCTTCTTTAAGCAAAATTTAGTTTAAAGGACAATGGTATTCCGATTTATATCTAAAAAAAGAGTTTACCTTATAAGCCAATTTGTAAGGACATTTTTTTCCAAATCCAACTGGAGGTGCGAGGTTTCTTAACATGTCATACATTTGCGAATAATGAATTCTACCGCTTTTTATTTAAGAATGTATGAAAATTATATAAGTTATTACATAAATTAATATTACCAGGAATTAAGGGGGTGGGGGAGACTGATTATAAGTTAAAATTCAAATAGATTTTTTGAACTCCAAAAATAACGTAAGATGAAGACCAAAATTTTTTTTGAAAATTTGTAAAGGTTGTATAAAATATATATCGCTTTCATATACATCTTTAAGAAAGGTTAAATTGTTAGCGTAATATTTGTTATTTTATCACTTTTTTTTATTAATAAGTCTTAGTTATATAAGTAGTTTATGTTCAGAGATGGAATTTTCTAAATTAAGATTGGTTCAATATAAGCTTCCTTAGCAAATAAAGTTCGCAGGGGCTAAATGTCTGGGGGTAACATTAAATTGCATAAGAAAAAATTATTAAGATCTTCTTCTTCTTCTCCGTTTTATGGCGATTTCCAGGTTTACCCGGGTAGGCCAGTTTTCCCTCTGATTTTTCTTTTCCATTTTTGACGGTCCTGAGCATCAATATTTGTAAGATTCAAGCTTCTCATATCCACCGCTATCACATTTGTCCACGTCATCTTGGGTCTTCCTCTAGGTCTTGATCCTCCTACTTCCATCATTGTGCATCTCTTTACCCAGTCATCTCTTGTCATACGTTCCACATGCCCAAACCATCTTAGTCTATTTCGTCGCATTACCATACCAATCATTTCTATACCTAATCTTGCTCGCAATTCCTTGCTAGTTTTTCTCTCTCTCAGAGATACCCCACACATCCATCTAACCATCCTCATCTCTGTTCTTTCTAATTTGGCTTCGTGAATTGCTTTCATTGCCCATGTTTCACCGCCATAAACTAAACAACTCCTCACGCAGCTTACGTAAACTTTCCCCTTTAACTTCAGAGAAACTTTTTTATTTGTAAGAATAGATGACATCTCTCTGAACTTCTTCCAAGCTTGTCTGATCCTTGCAACAACAGCAGAATCTACACCACCATCTGCGTTTAGCATATCACCTAAATAACAAAACTTATCCACTTTTTCTAGGGTTAACCCATTGCCAATATCCAGACCACCATTTTTTAGGTTATCATTATTATGTATCCCTTTCATGCATGTTTTACAAATAAAGGTCATTCTTTCTAACATCAAACTGCCTTTTTTCCCACTACATCTTTTATGTACCCATTTCTGGCATCTGGTGCATTGGATAGAATTTCTAGCAACTCCTTTCCCACATACACCACAAGGCCACTTACCTGATTCTTCTATCTTTAGATTTTCCCCACCAATCATCACCTTTGTTTTTGATGCATTCATTTTCAGGCCCTTTGTTTCCATAGTCATCTTCCATTTACAAACTTTATCCCTCAATTCTCCCTCACTGTTTGCCATTAATACAAGGTCATCTGCATATAATATCTCCCAGGGAAGTCCTTCACGCATTTCTCTAGCCACCACATCCATTACTAAGATAAATAATGGACTCAGCACGGATCCTTGATGAAGTCCTACCTTCACCTCAAAGCTGTCACTATCACCATAATCCGTCCGTACTGCTGTTTGTGCTCCAACATACATTGCCATCACTGCGGTAACTAACCATTCCTCCACACCGGATTTTCTCAAGGCCCATCTTGTAATCTCACGCGGCACCCTATCAAATGCTTTCTCCAAATCAACAAACGCATAATAGAGTTTCTTTTCCTTCACAAGATACTTCTCCTGAATTTGTCTCACCACAAAAATTGCATCTGTCGTGCCTTTTCCCGATGTAAAACCAAACTGCATTTCATCAATTTTGATTTGTTCCCTTATCCGCTTTTCTAACACTCTCTCAAATACTTTCATTGCATGTTCCAAGAGTTTAATAGCTCTGTAAGACCCACAATCTAAAGGATCACCTTTCCCCTTGTATACTGGGATAATTATACTTCTTCGCCAGTCCTCGGGAATAGTACCTTCTGTGACAATCTGATTTGCTAAATTCATTAACCATTCAATCCCTAAATCATCAGAACCTTTAAACATCTCTGATACCACCATCGTTAAACCCGATGCCTTCCCTTTCTTCATCTTTTTCACTGCTCTCCTTATCTCGTCCTTGCCAAATTTACACCCTGGACCTTCTACCTTTGCACAACTAATATTATTATTCCATTCATTTTCTTCATTCAAAAGTCCTTTCATGTAAATCTTCCAGGTGTTCTTAATACCACTACTATCAATCGTCATTTTTCCTTCCATATTTTTCAAACACTTTAAACCTATCACATCCTGCCTCTTTTTTGACATCTGTTTTGCCATTCTAACCATATTTCCAATTCCATCAGCGCATTTCATTTCTTTAGCAAACTTGTGTCTTTTTTCTTCTTGAGCCTTCGCTATTAATTTCTTAGCATTTCTTTTAGCCATCTTGTAAATATCATTATCACTATTTTCTTTGCTATTATACCATACTTTGAAACACCTCCGTTTCTCATCCACGGCTTTCGCTACCTCTGGGCTCCACCATCAAGTCTCCTTATGTCTAGGCGGCCCTTTTGTCCATCCACATACCTCCTCAGTTGTCATTACCCAAGCTTTCTTCATGGCTTCCCACTTGTCATTCACCCCAGATGCTTGTGCCACCTCCGCCTCCCTAATCGCCAATGCCATATTGAATTGACGTCTAGCATTCTCCTCCTTCAATTTCCAAACCTTCAGCCTTGGGACAAACTTTCTTTTAGTGACCCTGGCACCTTTAAGAGTGAGATCTCCTACAACTAGTCGATGCTGATTTATACATTCCTCTCCCGGTATCACTTTCACATTTTTTATTATACATCGATCACATCTCCTTAATAACAAGTAATCCACAACACTTTTGGTACTACCCGACTTATAAGTCACCAGCTTCTCTGATTCTTTCTTAAACATTGTATTACAAACAAAATGCATCACTAAATTCTAAAATCCTCTCTCCTTCCAAATTTCTCATGCCGTAACTGAACCCTCCATGTACTCTTTCATAACCCTCACTACTCGCTCCCACATGTCCATTCAGATCGCCAGCCAGGATAATCCCCTCTTCATTTGCCAGTCTCGATGTCACCCCCAATAGACTGTCCCAAAATACATCTTTCTCTTCTTCACTTCTTCCAACCTGAGGAACATATGCCGAGATCATATTATATAGCTTTCTACCAATAATCATCTTGATAACCATTATCTGGTTGTCTAGCCTTCTCACTTCGACTACTTTGTCTACCAATTTCTCCGCAACCAATACCCCAACTCCAGCCTTACCATCATTACCTCCTTGCCAAAAGAATTTATACTTTTCGCTAGTCTTGCCAATCATTCTGGTCCCATTTCATTTCCATCTAGTCTCCTGTATGCAGCACACATCTATATGTCTTCTGTGCAATACATCGACGACTTCTCCCGCTCTTCCCGTCATACTCCCAACATTCCATGTCGCGACCCTAACTCGATCACCCGTAAACTGGTTTCTCCACTTTTTATTAGGTCGTTTATGGCCGTCATAGGTTTCATTTTCATGAATAGTGGTTCCACCAGGTTTCCCATCCTTCTTTTTGTCGTAGGCGGATGAGGAGGCCCACGGGGTACTTTGGGCTGTACCCCGCCCATGCTTTGTTGTAACCATAGGGAAATTTTTGTAGCATGGTTTTTACAATCGGATGCCCTTCCTGACATCAACCTCTTTAAGTGGTTTTTACACCCCGTCGAGGAGACGGTGATCCTATTCTAGACCCAGATCACAGGGAACCTTTTAGACCTCCATTTGCCGCCAAAAGACGTTGCCACTCCTCCGCCACGATGAGGCTGAAGGTAGGAAATTATAAATTTTTTTCTATTTTTTCTTAAATTTTTAGTTTTATATATTTTTCCTTCTTATTTTATTACTAACTTTTGCTATTTCTTTAAACCATTTTTATTCTCATTCTTAATAATTCCTTTTTGTCTTTTTAAAAGTAATTTAATAATTTTCCCTGCCATTTTTCTTCACTTCTCTACTCCATTTTTCCTCTCATTTTTTAACAATTCTTTCCTCTTTATCCTACATAACAATTTTTTTATTTTTATATTTTTATCTTTAAAATTTCACTTAATTTTATTTCTCTTTTGCAATAAAATGTTTTTATTAATATTTTTTGCATATGAAAGTATTTCATTACAATTACGATGTATATATTTCATAATTTTTAAAGGGGTTAGAACTATCCGGGATTATCACGTGATTTGAAGGGATCCCTTTAAGAATTTTGGAAAAATATCAATCGATTGTTAATCAAAAGATCTATTCATCTGGAGATCAATCTTTCCCCCTTAATGGGCGTGTTTACAAAAAATTGTTATGTAGGATGGAAAAAGAGGAAAGAATTGTTAAAAAATGACATAAAAAATGAAGTAGAGAAGTGAAGAAAAATAACAGGGAAAAGAAAAAAATAAATTATCCAAAATGAGAAGAAAAATAAATTGAGAAACAATAAGAAAATTAAAGATTAAAAATGACTTAAAGAAATCGCAAAAAGTAAGAAGGAAAATAAAAAAACATAATTATAAATTATTTAAAAAAATAACGATTTTCCTTTTTTGAATGGGAATCTTCCTTTTTTGATTGACACTTTTCCCTTTTTGATTACACATTTTCCTGTTTTGTCTGAGATTTTTTTCTTTTTTGATTAAACCTTTTCCTTTTTTGTTTGACACTTTTCCTTTTTTTATCGGACATTTTCCTAAGTTTTTGGGACTTTTCCTTTTTGATTGATACTTTTCCTTTTTGATTGACACTTTTTCTTTTTTGGTTGATCCTTTTTCTAATTTGATTGTAGCTTTTCCTAAGTCTTTGGGACTTTTCCTTTTTTTATTGAACCTATTCCTCTTATGATTGACCCTTTTCTTTTTTTTGATCGGACCTTTTCCTTTTAGACACTTTTCCTTTTTGATTGGACTTTTCCTTTTTTAATAATAAACCCTGTAATAAATGGAGTAGTGAATTGAA